TGCTTTTTGTCACTGGGTTAAGAAAAGAAAAAAAATTAGCAGTGCAAGTGCAATGGGACAAGTGTGTTATGGCATCACGATTATCACAGAGATTCTAGAAAACTAAATTTTATTTGTTCTAGAAACCTAACGGAATATGCAATATTTTTTTTTGTAATACCATCAAGAACTATCGATGGACGGTTTGTGTATCTATCCTTATATGGCGATGATATGATCGCTTTCTCCATATTAAGCCACATTAAAATTATATTATGTTTTTTTAAAATCGTATATCCTCAATGAATAAGTCAAAATTTGCAAAAAAAAAAATTGTAACTTTGTAGAACTTATAAGACAACAATATTACGAGTTTTTTTTTGCAAATTTTTAAATATTCATTGAGGGATTACGATTTTGGATGTCTTTAGATGACCTGCACCGTATCAGAGTTCTTCGAAGTCCTGGTTGTACCGTGATTATCGATTACTGATTTTATTAGAGAAATTTGTTAAAATGAAAAGTAAAGATAAGGAAGTAAATGGTTTAAACAATGCATGTGTTGGAATAATTAATAAATAACGAATGTAAATAAAGAAATCAAGCTAGGTTTTTGACTGATAATAAAGAAAACGTAATATGTAAAGGAATATACACGTAAAAGTTAAGTGTTTTGTGTCAAGCGAGACTTTTGTTATTTTTACATAACTGTCTGAGCAAGATAAAGGTTCCAAATGTGACTGTTTAACTCCGTGATGCATAGTAATGACTAAGTATGAATATTCCTTGTTCTACTGATTTTTCATGCCAAATAAATGCTTTGTGATCATCTTTTTCCGTTCCAATTCCACAAGTACTAACTCATCAGTCAAAATGATTTTTAGTGAATTCTTTGAACTATCTGCCTTTGTAAATTCTTATAGTTCTCAAAATGCATTATTTTTTAAATTATAGCAATAACCGACTTGATACATTCCGTTAGAATTTCTTTTATCAACTGATACTGATATCAAGAAGACGCCTGGCGTCATCATTTTAATCCCAATTTCTAAATAATAACAAGGGTCAACTTGAAGCATTTCGTAAGAATTATTCTTATCTGCGGATTCTTGATAATAATTGAATACCTTATGCTCATTCTTTTCAACATCAGTTCGTATTCATGAATATCCCATTAGAGCTTCCTTTTTCTGCAGATTTTTGGCAATCAACAAAACTTAATTCTCCAATATTGCTAGTAGTTTAGTAATTTCATCTGATGACTATTTTTTAGTCAACATTTTAGATGCTATGAAAAATTTTTGGTAGGTTTTTTTTTATAAAATTTATTTATTATTATTCCACGTTTCTATATGATCGCATGGCGGGGTTTACAACTTATAATCATTACTTTAATCAGTAAAAAAATCGAGTTTCTAGCAATGTTTGTTATTTCCCCGGACTTCCGAGAAATAACAAACATTGCTAGAAACTCAATTTTTTTATTGTTCAAAACAGTGATTATGAGTCGTAAAGCCCGTCATGACATTATATAAAAACGAAGAATAATACCCTTATTTCACCACTACGGGGAAATAACCGGTAGATCCTCGGCCCTTCAGGCCCCAGATGACCGGGGATTTCCCTCTTATTCCCGCCGTTGCGGGAAATAAATAGTACGTTACATTTAATCAAATTAGTTTAGTTTGTGTAATTAATATGTTCTAAAAATTCTTTTTGCAGATTGACCTGGTCACAGATAACTTTAACAATTGTACCTCGATGATCTGGAAATATATATATTTTTTATTGGGGTTTTTTTTCTTACACATTCTCTTCTAACCGCTGCTTAATTAATATTAATACGTATTATTAAAATCTAGAAGATCATACTCATCCTTTACGCCAGCCAAATACACCAATAAACAGATATTCGTTAACACGATTATGTAAAGGGGATTTTTAGTAAAGCCTTTCCATTGCTGAGCTACTATTTGATAATAAACTTATTATAAGTGAAGAGTTTGGACATTGAGTGATTTTTTTGTAGTCTTTTCTTTGGATGCGTTAGAAAAATTGTGTATGAAACAACAATGTCTTCCTACTAAAATAGTTAATTAGAATTTGCTCAATTAATGAACTCCTTATTAGGGTGATTCAGAATTAATTTATTTCAAAAATAAGTGGGAGTTTAAAAGCTCTGTTTTGAAATTTCCAATCAGAAAAAATGAAATACTAGTTATCTTGATAAAATTAGTAAATATTTTTTTGATGAAAGATATAAAATTTTAAAGAAAGTTCACAATCATAAAAAAATATTGTTGATTATAAATAAGATTACATATCAAAATAAGTAGAATTTATAGATCACTAATTTTTAGGTTACTAATTTAATTTAAAATTGGAAACCTGCATCATTACTTCTGAGTACCAGAATTTTGATTTCTTTAAAAAAAATATTAGAAAATATTAGAAAAATTAAAATTAAATTTAAGATCATTATTGTATAAATACTTTAATATATATAATATTCATTTTGACTTTAGGGACTCTAATAGGATTATAATAGACTTAACTATCTCTATCAACCTCTAATTTTTATGATAAAATAGTAACCAGCTATCGACTACTAGCCATAAATCAAACACTTAGTCATGTAAAACATAGGAAACAAACAAACGACTAATCTCAAGCCCATATGTAATCGCGAAAAATTCCGATTTCGTGACCTTTAGACGTTAGATGAAACCTTTATATTTCCCATAGCATACAATTTTTCCTCAACGTCACAACTAATTTTTTTCATTTATATACTAATAGCTATATGTATAAGATATTGGTCATGCAACGATTAATATCATGAAATTTGTTTTGTCGGAGCAAATGGTTGGCTGACATGTGCCGCGCAGCGGCACATTTCAGCCAATCATTTGCTCTGACAGAACAAATTTTATGATATTTATCATCGCATGATCCAATATCGATGTTATCGTGCAATTATGATCATGATTTTCAAGTCATTTTCGGCTAACTGAGTTTTAATTCAAGATTGTTGTGCTTATGTAATAACGTACAAAAAATAACAAGAAGAAAAAAATCTATGATCATATGAGTTTGCATGATAACATAATTTAATTTATCGACTTGTATACTACCCAATACAGTAACTAATTGCTAAATAAGTGTAACTAAATATGCTAGGTACAGTACATATGTACGACTAAATAAATAAATACATGGTCGAATAACTGGCAATATGGATTACCGAAATAAGAATACAATAAGATAGCATGGATAAAATTTCAAATGTTACCATGTTAGCACGAAATTTTTGGGGCAACCGGAAATCGGGTATTTAATATAAAAGGTAACACAATTGCGCAGATTCGTCAATTTTATCGTTATACGCAGTTCTGATTTGCCGGCTGTTCTATAGTGCTATAAGTATAAAAATTTTGATTCTGTAGTAAAAAAAACGATATATTTTAATTATCTGGTATCCAATTATTATTTTCTTCATATGATCTTTATTAAACAAACATCTCTTGTATAAGTCCTAATTTCTCTCACCGTTAGCCATAAACTTATATCTGAACCTACTGTACTGCGCCATTTTGCAGAATCAATTTGTCTCACCCGATCTGTTGACAGCATTAACATGTTATGCTTGTAAGATTTAAGAATAAAATCTATTTTAACAATAGCATATAAACAAATTTTAAATGTTATAAATTCAATATTCTTATTACTTCATGAAATTATTAAGACATCAAAGTATAAAATTACAATTATACACAACATCGTAAACAGTAATACAATCCAAACAAAAATAAATTGAATGAATTTTGACTAATAATTATTAATAATATAAATAAACAAGTTATTAGGACAATTAATAAGTTAATCCGTGAAATTTATAAATGCGAGAATTTTCCATATTTCTTTTTTTCATTTTGACTCTTCTTATATACGTAGTTTAACTTATTTAAGTTTAGAAGTTTGAGAAATGTTACCTTATGCATGTTTTTTGCAGACATTAATATTTTATATAAATTTCTTATCATTCTTTTCACCAGCGAATTGTGATCGCTTTATAGATGGTAGTGACAATAATTTAATATACCCAACTGCTGGAACACCAAATCAACCTTTTTTAAGAGAAAATACAGAAACAAACTACAAGTAATTCTACTATAAATTATTATTAATTATACTCTAGATAATCACGAATAATCATTATTTTATTATATTACTATAATCTAGTGCTGATGGTTCTCCAGTAAATTCACCAACTGCCTTACTTTATGGTACAAATGTAACTGCGCAAACAAAAGCAACAATTAAGTGCACTGATCCATTACCCAATGGAACATATCCAATGCCGCGTTGTTATTCTGATATAATGTGCATGTATATTGTGCAGCAAAATGACATAAACACAATTTCGAGTTATCTTTCAAATAGGTCGACGAGTCATTTGGTAAATAAATGCTTATTTTTCATTTCATTCATTTAATGATCTTGTTTATAAACATTCTCTTTATACATCTTGACTTCTTTGCTTAGGCCACCTTTTTTGCTCAGTATATTTCATTCGACATTACATCATCAAAAAATACTTTGAATACTTATCCGATGTTTTTACCTGCTGATGATCCCTTCTATGTTCTGAATGGGTCATCCCCAAACTCTCCCCAAATTGATGTAAATTTTTTACCTGCCAATCGATCAGCAGGCAATGATGGTACCAATCAATTTACTAGTGGGATAAATCAAGTTACTCCTTTTCTTGATCTAAATAATATTTATAGTAGTAATGATACTTTAATGTTGAATAAATTTCGTGATACTTCGAGTAAACGTGGAAAATTAAAAGTATCAATTGCTAGTAACGGTGATTATTATCCACCAAAAGATTCTACTGGTGATTATGATTTGGGTGCTACTTCCACGCGTTCTCGTAATATATTTACTTTAGCTATTCAGACAATTTGGATACGAGAGCATAATCGTATGTGTGATGAATTATATCAAATTCATCAAGATTCTTGGACGGATGACCAATATTTTCAGGAAGCTGTGAGTTATTCATTCATACGATGTAAAAATCTAATCTAATATAAATAATAGAAATAACCAAAATAACTAAAAATCATTAGAGACGTTGGACTACAGCTTTTTATCAAAAAACTGTTGCAGAGGAATATATTGGTGCAGTTCTTGGTCGTCCCTTACCAGCCTACCAAAGCTATAATCCAAATATTAAACCAGGTTTTAATTCTTGTCCTCTTCTAAATTTAAAGTTCTTTAGTCATAATTTTTAGCATTAAAATTTGTATCAAACTGTTATTTGTAGGGATAGATACATTTTTCGCGACAGTTTCATTCCGTTACGGCCATAGTGAATTAAGGTCAATTAATGTGTTATCTCTTTTAAGTTATAAGCAAATATTCTGATAGGCTTTTTCCTGTTATAATTTAGTGATACTTATCAGATTAGAGATGATTACGGTGACGTACTTACTAATGTTGCATTGAACGATATTAAAGACCTTACACTATTGGAAAGTTTTGGAGTGGAGAAAGTGTTATTGTCGATGATACTTCAACGTCAAGAGGAGGTTAATATTTTCATGGTAAATTCAACCAAAAAAGCCATTGGTCCTGACAAAAACACTTATGATATAGCAGCTTTTGATTTAATAAGATCAAGAGATCGTGGTAAGCAAATCTACAGTATCTAATTGTATGACATTTGTTAGACTTTTTTACCTTGAATTTTAATAATAATTTTGCTTTTCACGTCCTTATTATTGCTATCATTATTATCATTGTTATTTTGTTATTATCATTGTTATCGTAGGTATTCCTTTGTACAATAAAGTGAGGCAATTCTTTAATTTGCCACTGGCTCAAACATTTGCTGATATTTCAAATCGTACCGATATTCAAGCAAACTTGGCAAAGTTATATCCTGATGGTATTAATATCATGTGATATGGAAATTTTTAATTGTTGTATTTTGGTATTAATTAAAAATTAAATTGCATATACTGTTTTTAGTTGACCATGTAGAGGCGTTGGTTGGTGTTATGTGTGAACCGCATTTGGATGGTTCTAATTTCGGCATGACCATGAATGCAAGCATTACAACACAGGTAAACTTATTCATATCTTTGTTACAAATTAACATTAAGAAATTTACTTAATATTACATTGGTTTAAAAAATAGTTTTCAAACATTCGAGATTCAGATAGGTTTTGGTATGAAAATGAAGGCATGTTTACTAAAGAAGAACAATTAATTTTACGAAATACAACACTTAGAGATATTATTGTTCGTAATATAAACTCTGCTGGTTTTCCGCAAAATATTTGGAGTGTCCAACCTATATTTAAAATTGATAGCAGTCAAGATGTTTCTTATCCAAATTCGATTAAAAACTGGCCTCAATATATAGTGAGTTACAATGTCGATCATTATTACATATATTTCAAAGTTCAATTACAGACTTTCAATGGCAACGGATGGTTCGGAATGGTAAGACTGACATTATAAGTCTTATTTTTTAATATATTGATATATTCATTAATATTATTATTTATTTCTGTAAATATTTGCTACCCTATAGGGATTTAATCCAGATGATAATGGAATGACAAATGCAGACTTTATTATTGGATCTGTAAGTTACTGTGAATCAATTAAAATTTCTGTAATAGTGACATGCAGTCTTGAATGATTTAGACTTACATTTTTTGTTGCTAACTTTTATTTATTTGTAGGTTTCAAATGGAAACAATGTTTTGTTAGCAAATTATGTTGCAGTTTCTGGTGGTTACCATCCTCCCACTCTTGATCCTAATCAAGATCCAGACCTTGCATCTTCTTTGTCATATTCGTTTGTTAATGATATTGCGGTCATAACTTTCAAAAGAGCTCTTTCTCCTACTGCAATAGGAAGAAAGAAGATCTTACACGGTCAAACAAAATGTGCGTAATATTTTAATTATATAATCACTTTTCTTGTTTACTTTTAAGATTAAATTCTCTTATATTGACTCTATCATTATGTATACAGTTATCATGGCTTATAATCCAAATAGTCATATATTATCTTATCACCAAAATAATCGTATTTTGCAATTAATTGACTTTTACAGTGGCGAAATTTCTTCTTCAACTGCAACTCAACTTAAAATGGCTACTCATCTTGTCCATGGTTTGGGAATGATCGTTACGTGGTGGTAAGTTAGTTATTTACATTATACCATATGACCATATTATATATTATTGCCATAATTCTTATAGAGTTTAAAATTTGTAGCATTGTATTCCCCGGATCAATATTCTTTGTTCGGTACTATAAAGTAAGTTTCTTATCAATATATATATATATATAAATATATTTCTAGTCCATCATGAACCTAAATTGTTTTATTGTGTTTTTATATAGCACCATCATATGCATCTTAAATATCACCGGTTTTTTCAATTGGTTGGTAGTATTTCTGTATCAACGTTTGGAGCTGCTGCTATAACCACAGTAGTATCGGTACAAACACCACATGCCTGGTATTAACATTCTCATTCCTAATTATTATTCTTGCATTTAATTTGTATGTTGTATGTTAATTCTGTTATTTCTGTTATCGTATTATCAAATTAGGTTGGGATTATGCGTATATGTCGCATCATTTATTGAAACAGGTATTAAACTCATACGTAATTAATTATAAAGCATATAGTGCCTATTTATTATACAGTATATTGATTTTTTTGTTTAGCATTTGGTTTAATTGCAATGTGGGGACAAACTGCTGTTGTATCGGTTAATAAGGTTTGTTAATACAATATATATTTTTTAAGATTTAAACATCATTCACACAATGTATTTATTGTAGGGTTATCCAAGACTTACAAAACGGTTTCATCAAATATTTGGGGGTACACTATTAATTGCAGCATGGTAAGATATTTAGATGTACTGGCAGTAATATTTGATCAAATGATTATAGATTATTGTAACGATATTGATTATTAATATTATTATTTGTTAAAAATTTAATTGTAATTATAGGGTCAACATATACTTGGGTAAGCAATTTATATATAATTAAACATGTTCATGCTGTGTGTTTAACATTAATATATTCTGCATTCAGGGATAAATACCTATGGTCTCTCTTATGGCTAGTAAGTATACCAGTGATAAAATTTATAAATCTGTAATTAAAAATTATGGATACTGACCTCATACCTTTATATTATAAACAGTAATACGACCTGGTGGACGGTTGCTTATTTATGTTGGATATTTTTATTAATCTTTCATTTTGTAATGGGCGAACTTTGGTGGCGGTTTGAAATTTTTAGAAAATTCAGGCCTTCTGAAGAAGAGAAAGAAAAAAAAATTCTGCTTCATTCTCACATCAGCCTTGATGATTACACCAAACTACCTGAATATACTTGGGAAGAATTTAATGAACGAGTTCAATTTGGCGTAAGTATTTAGAATGTTTGAGTTTATTTATAGAAAATTTATAGCGTTATTTTTAATTTTTTAGGCTTATCTTGTTGTTTGTGATGGACTTGTGGTAGATATTCGCAAATGGATTAATTCGCATCCAGGTTTGAATTTTGTTCTTTTTAGTTATGATATACGAAGAAAAAAATTAAGAATAAATTATCATCAACTTGATTATTTAATTATTTTGATTATTTTGATAGGCGGGAGTCATATACTTGAGAAGGTTTGTAACATTTTTATATTATACTGTATGCTAGCATATATTATAGGCATTATTTTGATATTTCGCTATTTCTAAATTATTAGGTTATTGGAACAGATATCACGAATGGTAAATATTTTTATTATTAAGTACTAGATTTTAAATTAGTTATTTAATAACAATCAGCTAATTTTACTTTTAACAATTTTCCTATTTATAGATTTTTATAATAAGCATAAGTATAATTATATTAATGAAGAATTTGATTCACCGGAAGTACCATTAATATCAAATGGTAATCCTGGAATGAAATCATCTATGCTAGAAAAATACACAAATCATCTTAGAGGAAACATTGCTCCACAAGAAAGAAGCTCAGTTTCTGACATTATTGATAATTTTAATTCAAAATATTACACGAATGTTCCTTTGGCCCAACACACCCACAGTAGATTTGCTACTCAGACTATGGCTTCTATGGTAATAGCTCGAATAAAAGAAAATGAAAATACTTTAGATGGTGCCCCTTTTGTAGTTTTAACGCCTTTTGATAATCAATCCCATTCGCCAAATCAAAGCACTACTTGTGTCAATGAAGATAATATCATACAAAATATTAAGTTTAATAGATATAAACTTACAAATAAAGAAATGGTTAACGCAAATATAAACTCACCTGTGATAAGATTTATATTCACCAAAATTTTTCTGGATAAAAATGCTAGTGATGATAAATTCCTTCCAGGACACTATATTGAATTACAAGCCAAAGTAAAGGGTCAAGTAGTAATTAGAAAATATAATCCCTTAGAAGGCAGAATGTCTAAATCATTTTCAATTTATGTTAAAATTTATTCAAATGGCCTTTTGTCGCAACATTTGGTATTATTTTCCTAAAATTATAAAATACTGTGATTATTTGTATGTGTTTTGCTTTTCATTTTGACAATTTTGATGTAATATTTCAGAATAAGCAACTTATAGGATATGAAATTCTGGCTCGTGGGCCATTTGATGCTGGATTACATCTTCCGTCTAGACCATTATCTTTACTTGGAACTGGGCAGAAATTATCATCTTTATCACCTTTATTTGGAACTGCAAAGACTTTATTAAATCCAAATAGTCTTGATGGCTGTTGGAATGAATTATACATGATTGCCGGTAATTATTCTTTAATTTTGAAAAAAAAAATTTTAATGAATAATTTTTGACTCAAATATATCTAGGTGGTACGGGGATAACACCGATGATACAGGTAGCTTAAACAAAATCGACTTTTTTTAATGTGTAAATTATGCTATTTCTAATAAAATTTCTAATAATTTGGTTATGATAGTTGATTGTATACCATTTAGAAAAATCGTTAAAAGAAAATACTCAATGCAATAATAGAATGCATTTACTATTTGGAAATAATACAATTGATGATATTATTGATTTTGAATTACTTGAAAGATTAGCTATTACAAGTCGTGGGCAGCTTACTGTCACATATAGTCTTTTGTATCCACCTGATGATTGGGTTGGTCTAGAAGGAAAAATTAGTACAAATGTAATATCAAAATGGATGCGTCTTGTAAGAGGTGAAACTCTCCTGTCGCCAACCCCAAATATACCTCTCGCTTTACAGACACATTATACGAAAACATTAACTCCTACAATTCGTCATCGAGATGATGATGTAATAAGTGAATCTGAACCATCAACGGGTAGGTTCGGTAGAAAGCTTGTACAAGGAAAGATTATTGTTTGTGGATCACACGGTATGATAAACACTGCTGAGCAGGTATTACTTGACATGGGATATGATGAAAATGATATGATTTTATTAGTTTAGTATACGTTTAATGAAGTTGATTTGTCAGTTTTATCACTATTGGAACTATTACAGCCGTCTTTACAGCTTTGTTAGAAACATAATTCTTTGTTAGAAACATATTTTTTATTAGAAGTTGCTTTATATATGCTATGTACTTGTCAAATAATGTAACAGTATTAATGTTTGTTATTGCGGTTACTATTACTCAGATGATTTTTAACCTGTTAATTAATTAATGTAATATTTAGCTATATTAATTGATCAAAGTATTCAAAATTTGTTAATAAAATTTTAAACTACTTACATAGTGTTGTATACTGTATTGGATTTTAATTATTTAGTGAAACGTATTATATTAGAACTAGTAAATGATCATGTAACTACTTTGCCGCCAAATTTTAACAAATAATTAGATTTAATAGATAGTATAATGATAATGGCAGTAGTCTTTGTTAATTAATTAAGCCTTGTTTTAATAGAATTATAAAGTAGGATGTTTAATTTTTATGTTTCGCTCGGCTTAAATCCCTATAAGAAAAATGGTTCGTATCGGTACGGGTTGGTTTCGGATAGGCACGGGCCTTTGTGGCACGGGTCAAGACCCGGATTTGTACGGTGTAAAAGGGTGAAATGTGGCTTGGAACAATTTTTGCCGCAGTTGATCGATTTGGGTCGGAGATCTAACAGATCTGTTAGATATGTCGGATATGTCGGATCCGTCAGATATGGTGGATCCATTAGATACGTCATATCTATTATATATGTTAGGTATATTATATACGTTATATGGGTTGTATAGGATAGATATGTTATATCTATTAGATAGATTATATATGTTAGGTAGAAATAGCGAATCATAGTATAGCCGAAAGTTGTATATAAGGACCAAGAGTCCGCCTTGAATAAAAGAATATCTCCAGTAAGGAGTATTTTGTCATCTCAGTAATGAGTTTTTAATCAACACAAAGTCATCTCATACATTCGTTTTCCCTAATTCCCGATAAAAAACTATCTTATAAACCCCGTAATCCCGAATTAGAGCTTCGTGACGTAGTCTAGAGCTCTATTTGGCCCTAATAACTCGGATCAAGTCTTTCCACGCCCTCTTTCGTGCCTTCCACCATTGGGGCCCAGATAGAGTTCAGTAGTTTTTGGCGGATTAGAGTGTTGATTTGGATTAGATTAGTCCTTATTGATATCCGTGAGACCATAATTCGGTCGTAGGGGTCGATTTAGCCCCTCACAATTTGGTGGTGACTGTGAGATTGAACTTCTAAACTCACACGAAACAAGAAGATTTACCAATCCAAACCCGAACTAAAGCAAAGATGGATGAAATATTTATCTTAAAGAAGAAATTCGATCAACAAATCCGCGAAGCTATAGACCATCCCGAAGAAACCTGCGAAAAGAAGTATGGTGTTCCTATTGCAAGACAAAAGGGCATATGGTTAATAAATGTCCCAAAGTGGAAGAGTTAGAAGAACGATGCGCCATTTTATCTGAGATCCTTACCAATAAACAAGCAGCTGAGTTCCAAGAAATCCTAAATGAAACTTTTGGGAATAATTACATTGACGATGCGCAACTTCCGCAGGCCTTGAACCTAGTATTCAAAATACTAAAAGACCTCACTGATGATAGAAGTACTGAAGAAGTCCCGATTATATACCTGCCTCATATATCCAAGTGACCCCAACTACGAAAAAGAAAGTTTACCTGCAGTAGCTCCTGCAATAAAAGTTTCCTCAATTAAGTTCCACCATAAGAAAAATTCAATTACTAAGGCACTTGACGCCTATGTAGTTCAGGCTGAAGTTTTTAAAGGACTGACCCAAGCGAACCCGCCCAAATCCAATTCGGAAGAATTGCTAGATAAAGCGCCGAAACGAAGCATGGATTGTGCTAAAGATGATAACTTGAATGATCATTATGACCATGGATTCTACTGGCAAAACGGAATTGGTCTTGAAAAGAAAGAGCATAAATCATCTATTTACTATCAAAAATTACCGAAGATATATAGGGAAAACGAAGCTTCTAAAGTTAGCTATTGCGATAATAATGGAAATAAAGTAGAAAGAAAAGATGGGCATAGAACTTCCCGCGAAAGTCTTAAAGACTCAGGTCCCATCGATCATAAACCTGCTAATACGGATGGTAATATTAATAAAATATATAGGCCTGGACCTTGCGACCAAAATGGAACTGGCTTCGAAAAAGAAGAACATCGGAATGAAATTAAAGCATCTATTCATTATCCGAAGCCTGCTGGAGTCAATAAGAATGAGACTAAGGTATCTAGCTTCAAAAATCACTCCGATAAAACTCTGGTCTGCAAAAATCAGAATCAGAATAAGATTGGAGTCGAAAAGAATATGTATAAGGCACCTGTTTATTATCAAAAGGCTGTTGAAGCGAACAGGACCAATGCACTTAGTTAACGATATATTTAACGATATATTCTATTTTTGACCGGTCCATATTTCCTAATTTGTTAATGCAGTGTAATATTCTTTGCTATTTTTGTTTATGTGGTGTATTCTTTTTTTGCCATATATCGTATTTTGTGCCGCATTCGTGCATATGATCAGCGGCCAAAATTTCCTCTTAATCTATAAAAGGAAATTTTTACACCCGCCAGTTTTATATATATTAGATATCGATCAAAAAGCATTCGCTTTACACAACTTTCGATATTTGGACTATGCCGGCTGATTATTTATGCCGGAGGTGATATTTATTGAATTTAATGTTAGCAGAGTACATTATAGAAAGTGAGCAATTGACCGAATTGGTCATAACGGCAGAGGCATCCCGCGACAGAAGCAATCATAATTACACTGGGAGTCTCATTAGGATTAGCCGGTGGGGTCGTTCCCCGCCTGCCGAGGCAAGCCGGCCGTAAGTAAAGACATGACGGAATCACGTGTCATCATATTTGGGTGGGCAAGAAAATTCCGCTTTGATCTTTTGTCGTTGAAGGGAATTGAATTCGTCAATTCTCGTAGTTATACCGTACTTACCATTTCCTTACACCTGATTCTTTGCGCCTAGCATGCGCTGTTATCATTGTTGTCTCATTTTAGCTTGATCTTCCCACGCCCAAATACCCGCTTCTGCCGTTATCTGTGATCTTCACGCGCATGTTGAATTACGTATTTGCGATGACCCGCCCGTGATGATGTCGTGTGGCGAAGTTGTGTGGCTCTCTTCTTTTCGATCACGTGATGTACCATCACTTCGCAATGATACAATACTAGCAGAAGAAAAAAAAAAAAAGAATTTGAATCATTTAAAACAACTTAATTTTATTTAAAAAAACATCCTTTTTGCACTTGTGTGCCTATTTTAATTTACGTTTATGTTTATACTTCCTGAGCTTTTTTGGATTT